CACACACCCATCTATCCATCCATCCATCCACCTACCTACTCATCCACCTACCCACCCCTCCATCTAGTCATTCATTCACTCCATAAATATTTCCTGAGCACTCATTATTCTCAGTTGGCTCTGAAGGCAAAGCCATAAAGACAAAAACCTCTGTCCTCGTGGTGCTGACGTTCGGCTCAGCTGGAGACTTACTGTAAGCAATCAATGCACAAGCAAGGAGCCATTCCGAGTGTCACGTGCTCTTGGAGAACAGCAGTCGTGCATGGGGAGAGTGGGGGTGACCAGGGATGGGGGGCCTCTCTGAGGAGGGGACAACTGAACAGAAACATCAGTGCAGGAAGGCTCTGGGCCACAGGAGATTGGGGTGCGGAGGGTTCAGATCCGCACTCAGACCCACAGGCCTTGTGGGCTGTGGAAGGGACTTTGGCTTTAATTCTTGGAGCCCTGGGGAGCTGGTGTGGCAACTCAAGCTAAAACGAAAACAAACCTACTGCCCTCTAGTCAATTCTAACTTATAGCAACCCTTTAGGACAGAGTAGAACCGCCCCGTAGGGTTTCCAAGGCTGTGTTCTGTAGGAAGCAAGTTATCTCATCTTACTCCTGTGGAGCAAATGGGTTTGAACTGGTTCTCAGCCGAATGGCTTAACCACCGTGCCACCAGAACTCGCCAAATCAGGCAAATTTCACTGTCATCCCCAAAGCTGGGAGGCTTGTGTCATGCTTGTCCCTAATTCATTATATGAGGACACTGAGGCACAGAGAGCTCCCCAGCAGGAGTGGAGGCGCTGAGATTTAAGCCAGGGTCCCATCAACTGATGATGTCGCCCCCTAGAGGGGGGTTTCTCAGAGAACGGCAGCGTTCACAGAGCTTTCCCAGCCGAGGGACTGGTGTGTGCAAATCACAACCACAGTCACCCTGACCATTAACAGAGTCCTCACCGGGGCCCTGACATCCCGTCCTCTCAACAGCCCCACGTGGCATCGTGCCCATTTCATAGATGAGGTGATTGAGGCCTACAGAGAAAATGGAGTATGAGCTTTGGGGTCTGGAGCCAGGAGCCTGGGTTCCAGTCCCGACTGGCTCCCCCACCTGTGACCTAAAGGACTTTCGGATCTGCGAGCTTCAGTGCCCCCCTCCGGATACTGCGATCGTAATGGTGCCTAACTCACTGGGCTGGCGCGGTAATGAAATGTATATTATAGCAGAGCCGGGCGTGGGTTATTGTCGTGAGCTGCAGTTGAGTCTGGCCTCTGACCCACGGGGACTCCACGCACCAGAGAACAAAACACTGCCTGGTCCTGCAGCCTGGGCCAACCTGGTGACCGGGTGTGGATCAGCCTGTCAGGTCAGTTTTCCCTGATGGATCTTCAGAAGCAGGCCGCCAGACCGAAGAATCCTAGCCCATCTTAGTCTGGAAACTCCGCTGAAACCCATTTAGCATCCTATCAACTCACAAGCCTCCACTGACAATGAGTGGTGGCTGCACGAGGTGGACTGGCTGGGACGCGAACCTGGGTCCCCTGCATGCAAGGCAAGACTTCTACCACTGGGAGTGTACCCAAGACCATGAATAGGGTTGGCAGACAACCGTCCTATAAGTGTATGTGTATGATCTGAATTCCCAGGTGTATAGTAGAGCTGACAAGGGGCAAGGTTGTAGTCACTTCATGGGCACAGCCAGCTACCCAGAGGGAGTGAGTAGTTGAACCTGTGGGCTCAGGACCATAGTTGCA